CCTTATCTAATTAAGCAACCTAATATTCTCTATCCAAAATCCTTATCTAATTAAACAACATGACATTCTCTGTCTAATGGCTTTCTACTTCTATTTTCTCCCTATGTAATGACTTTTTTACAATTTCTCCATGCTCCTCACATCTATCTACTCCTTATCTTTTTCCATCTTTCTACTCTATCATAATTTTGTCATTTTTTTCCTCCCAATTTTTTTGATTGCTACCGTACTCACCGATCTCAAATTCATTATTTCCAATTGATCATTTGTTGTTTTGCATCAACATTTTTCCATTGAAGTAATTAAATTTCTATATAATTTTGTGTGAATTTAAAACTTGTTTATTGCAGCTTCCTTTTGCTTATATTTGGACTTTTCTTATCAAACTCTGATTTAAAAATATATTTGCACTGATATTTGGACTTTTCTATAATATATTTCTTCTTTTATAGTACTTTGATTTAAAAATAAATATTGTCATTTTCATAACTAACAATTTTAAGCTAATTAAATCATAGGTTTTATTTCCTTTTTGGATTAAAAGATAGAAGGGCAAAATTGTACAATTTAGCTTATTAAGCATTAAGTTATAAATGTTTATCAAAGAGTATAAATATGTTTAGCATTAAGATTCAAATATTCATATATCTCTTTTCAGTACTTAATATTCAGCAAATTAATTGTTTCAGTATTTAGAATTCAGAATTCAGATGCAGTTTTATCAAACGGAGCCTAAATCAATTATATTACAAAAGTTTAGATTGCTTGAACCTATATAAAGACCTATGTAATTTAATGGAATAAATTGCTCTAGGATTTGATCTATATGCTTCAGGCCTGAAACTAATAGCCCATTTGGTTGAGGGGTTTTGCACCCCTTAATGGGAATAAGAGGGTAATGATTGTCATTGATGGTGTTTGGTACACCACTTTGGGCTTTTTCATTACCCACTTTTGGATCTTCCATTATCCAAAACTCCTTACCCACTAAATTGGGCACTTTCACTCCCATTACCAATCAAGACAAAAAATAAAACAAAAACAAACCAAAAAATAGCTAAGAGAACAATAGTCGACGCATCTAATCTCCACCTGCTCACATCTTTCCTCCAACTCTCCTACCTCCTCACCTCCCCCTTTTTGTTTCACCCCAATTTCTCTCTCCCTTTTTGTCCCATGGAATTTTTCCTCCTTTTTTCTCTCACAAAAAAAATCTTGGTGTGAGGAGAATTTTTTTTATTTTTAGTAAGAATTTTGAAATTAAAATTTGTTGAAATGGTGCGTAAAACTGGGATTATGATGGAGGCAGTGAGAGGTGGTTGTGCGGTGGTAGCAGTGGCCAAGGGATGAAGAGAACCACCAAAATTGAAAGCAAAAAAAAAAGGAAGAAAGAAAAGGTACAACAAAAGGACAACAATCATGGGCGATCGGTCAGCAACATCCAAGAAATCAAGGGAAAGGAAGAAAAAAAAATGAAGGAAGAAAAAAAAAAGCCGGGAGATGATGGTGGGAGCCGCTGGAGATGAAGAGAAAGGAGCAAAGAAAAAAAGATAACAATTTTCTTTTTTTTTTTCTACTAAGAAAAGTCATTGTCATTATGGTAACTACCAAACACAAGATTTCATCAAAAGGAATCTTGACAAATTCATTATCATTGAGGGGGTCTTCCATAGTTATTGTCATTGTCATTCATTAATAGCTACCAAATGGGTGGTAAATCCTTCAGGATTTTTCATATATTATCTAGTATTCCATACAAATAAGCAATGCTTACTGAAAGTATAGGGTATTAAGTGTCGAACTCACATGAAAAATTTTCAATTATCGGTGATTCTTGAACTTCTTTATTATTTAGACTATCACAAGTGCAAGAAATTAACTTTACACTATAAACATGAAGTAAAAGTAATAAAAATAACACTAAAAAACTCCCAGAGGTATGGAATTCCTTACTATTCTTGCAAATGAAGTTACTAGTTAAGTGAATGTTATTATCTTGGCTAGTTATGGTGTAATTTCCTAATGTATGTAAAATTTGCTATCGTAGTGAATCAACTATACTTGTAGCTAAGTCATACATGCTCTCGTGGTTATGAAATCAACTACAAGTTCATTTCTTCTATGAAATTATATGAAACAAGTCACTAAAGCCACATAGGTGCACCTCTACTCTTGTGAGTGAAATCCCTAGGTTTATCATTTTCTTGAACTAGTGTTAAATTTAAATTCTCATTGCAAATGTAACAACTTAAGATTATCATAATTAATGGCCGGTTAATCATGACTAGAAAAGTAAAAGTGATAAATAACTTGTTCAAAATAATATCATAAAATAATCAAGTAAACATCACTAACAAGATATAGAAAGTTCATCCATAACTCTAGGCATAAGGTTTAGCTAAACATGAAAAATAAGATCCAAACTTGTATTATAGTTAACATGAAATCAAATACAAGAGAGAAAGTGATAGGAGATAAGTCACCTTTGTTACATAAGCACTAACTCTCCATCTTTGCCCTTCAATTTTTCATCCAAATCTAACTACAAATATAAGAAGGAAAAGCTATACTAACTATATTATACTACCCTAACTAATAAACTAAGGAAATTCTAGTGAAAGCTACATTTTTGTGAAGCTTCTCTAGGCTTCTAAAGTTGTTAAATGCCCTCCAAAGCTGCTATTTATATAGGAATTCAATAGCCAAATGAGTTGTCTCTAGTTGTCATTTTTTACTCTTGAAACTCCCATGAGTTGTTTCTCCAAGTTTCCACACTCTTCTTGGTCAGATACGGCCGAAATTACTTGCTGGAATTGAGCTGGAAAGTTGTGTGAACAAAGAACAAGTTGCAGATTGAAAATGGTGAATACGCGACCTCAGGTCGCGTATTGCACCCCATGTTTTCTCCTTTGCAGGTTTGCACTTTCTGGGCAGAATTCATCCTTACTCTATTTTTGGTTCAATTTTAACTGAAATGTTCTTGATGTTAGAGGCTAAACTAGCTCTTGCACACAGCATAAAAGTTGTAGCTCTTTGAGTTAGCTTTCCAATGCATCAGGAATCATCCAATTTGGAGCCCTGTGGACTGAGAAATAACCAAACAACCCTTGACTGGTTGGAACTCTATTTCAGCTTTTGACAACAGAGTTATACTTTTGTATTTTGACTTTTTGACAAGAAAAACAACTGAACTGGACTTCAGTGTGTCTCTTAGCTTCAAAATAGTTCAAAAATCACCTTAATCCAATGCTTGTAGCTCAAGATATAGCCAAAATATCACAAGATGTTAAAGCTGGAAAACTTCCATTTCATCCTTTGAACATTTTGCACTTCATGTCTTTTTTTTATCACTTCAAACCATCATCAATCATTCAATTATCTTCTCAATTCATGCCATTTGATGATTGAATCCTTAAACCTACAAAAATATAAAGTTTTCACCATTAAAATCCATAGAAATGTAGTTTTATCACTTAAATCATAAAATACATATTTTCACTAGAATGATAACTAATTAGCTATAAAAGTAGTTAAAACACACCAAAACTAATTAATAAAATACACTTAAAACGTGTAAAATATACACTTGTGAAACTCTCCCACAATTGAACCATTGCTTGTCCTCAAGCAATTAAGAAACACTAATCAACAATGATTCAAAATTTTGAAAATAAACATATGTGCACAATTCAATTTCATTTTCTCAAAACAAGGTAAATAACCATTATGCAATCACTCAACTAAGCTTAAGTACTCATAATATCAAGTAAAGGAGAGTCAATTATGCTATTATTTTAACTAGTTTAACTCAACTTTTCATTCTTACCCTATTTTACAAGCAACTCATATGGTCAATAAAATGCTTCCTAAACCCATGATCATCTTCTTATTCATATTTAAAGAGGGATTTATTCATATATCATAACTAAATATTACTCAAATTGTGAAAGTACCTTTTGATGTGAAGATCGATATTTTTAGATGAAATCACCGGTTACTCAACACTTCATATCATCAAGTTGCCTTGCCTACTTTTAATTCAAGTACCGTTTTACACAAAAGTCAATATTTTTAGATGAAAACTCTTGGTTACTAAGTACAAGAACCATTGGAATAGAACAGCCACTACAAGAAAAAAGGTCATTAGTGACAACATTTCCTAGTGATGACAAAAAGTCGTCACAAAATGAGGTTGTTCAAGCGCGACATTGAAGATTGTCACAATTGACTCAAAGCAACTAAGTTTTTAGTGAGGAACCTTAATTGTCGTCACAAAACTACTTTGCGCCATGGGACTTGGAAGGCATGAGTTTTACGATAGTGACAATTTGATAAAAATTGTCAATAATTCTACCTCTTTCTTTGACAACTTTTCATTATTGTCACTGTTTATATTTATTGACGATCGATTTTTGTCAGTAAAACTATAGCGTAGTTAGTGACAACATAGTATCATCACTAACTTGAACATCTCCAATGCAATTATTTAATTGTGAGCCTCAATATTAATTTAATTTTTTAAAATGTGGTGATTTATTAAACTAGTCATAGTTACTCAAATAATAAAAGGTTTTTAACTGGAAAAAATTAATGAAAATTTCTAGTTAGAACAACTATATAAACTATTACAACTTGAGAAAGAGTACATTTACCAGTTGTTTGAATTTAGCAAAAAATTTTCATCCATTATAATTTTTTAATAAATATGTTAAGAAGTAGTGATTAGAAATACATTAATAGATTTAAATAAAAATTGAAGCTAAAAATTGACTTGGATTGTCTTGATTGACTAGAGCCAGAAATTTGTTCAAACTAAAAATGAAAAAAAGTGGCGTGGGTACTGTACACTAAGAAAAGGTACCACTCTTACTCCCCACATCTAGGCGTCTTCAGTACTCTTCACACTCTCCATTTGTCAGTCAACTCCTTTATTCTTAACCCCATTTATTCATTTTCCAAAACCCTAGCAGCAACGGAGGCAGCAGCAGCCGTCATCAAAGATGCAGATCTTCATAAAAACCTTGATGGGGAAGACCATCAACCTTGAGGTGGAGTCTTCTAACACCATCGACAATGTCAAGGCCAAAATCCAGGACAAGGAGGGCATCCCCTTGGACCAGCAGTGCCTCATCTTCACCGACAAATAGCTGGAGGATGGCTGCACCCTAGTCGACTACAACATCCAAAAGGAGTCCACCCTTCACCTCATCCTCTGCCTCCGTGGTGGCGCCAAGAAGCTCAAGAAGAAGACCTACACCAAGCCCAAGAAGATCAAGCACAAGAAGAAGAAGGTCAAGCTTGCCGTCCTCCAGTTCTACAAGGTCAATGCTCAAGTAGGTCCTCTCATGTCTCTAGTTTCCCTAATTTTTTCCCCAATTAATTTGCCTAAATTTTTTCCCCAAATGTTTTTTTGCAAAAATTTTTTGATGGCTAGTTTGAGTCATGGATTTAATCATCTCCTTCTGCAAAATTTGCCCTAATTTTTTCTTGCAACATTTTTTTTTGGTAAAGGAATTCAAGGTAGGGGATGAAGTATTCGAAGACATTGACAAAGCCAAAGGGATGTGGGTCACTGGCGGAGTACACTACAGTGGAGGAGAAGGAACTTGCTTCGAAGCCCAAGAATTTGAGTTTTGCTGAGGCAGCTAGCCTTCCAATTGCCGTTGAATAGCGTACAGGAGAGTTGAAAGCGCTAGGCTTTCAGCTGGTAAATCAGTTCTTGTTCTGGGTGGTGCTGGTGGAGTTTGATCTTTTATCATTCAAGTAAAAATTTTGGGCTTTCTTTATTCTTCTTTCAACTTTATCTTTTTCCTTAAATGATTTTGGGTTTCTTCATTGTCTAGGTCTACGCAGCTGCTACTGTCTTTCTTGTACCTTTTGTGGAGAGGAAGGGAAATTTCCTGTGGTGAACTTCAATTTCATTAATTTTGGGTTATTTTCTTGCGTTGCTTAGGTAAATTCTTTTAACCACGTGATGCGTCAAAATTCATAAAAACACAATAATTTTACAGAAATTTAAGGAAAGTTTCATGGTTTTAAGTATCTTTTTACCTTGTTTCGCTTCCAATCTATATGTATGGTAAATCACCCTTGTTGGAAGTCATAAAAGATTTCTTGTTTTGCGTTAAAATATTTGGCTATGGGTTCAACATCAATTTTAGTGCTTTTGCATAAGTAAACTACAGGTTGTAAACATTTTTTGAACTCTATTTTCAATGTCGAGTTAATATCGATAGCAGTGTAGTGGAGGTAGATTTTGCAAGTTTCGTTTAACAATTTGTATGCTTTCATGTACTAAGTGATCCTCCCATGCATGGCAGGTTCATATAAATTCCGTAACAATTACTTATTAAGATTCATTTATCCTCTTATATAGGTCACACAAATGCCGCACAACTTGTGTGCTTCTTACCACTAGACTTATTTTTTTTACCTATTAATGTATCAGATTATCACTCTATAGATAGAAGCTTAGCTAAAAGGACATTACAGATGTAACTAACAAAGGTTTCAATGCAAAAAACAGTCTCATAATTTCTTCATGTTATGTCTATTGATAATCAAACAATTATAGTTCTTTGACATACAAAAGATTGGTTTGCTGTTGGTTTTTTTTTTCCCAAAACATTGATATGTTTGGAAATGATTAACATTCGTCTAACTTTCGATAATAAGAGAACCCCTTCTTTTTTTTTAACCAGTCATTGATATCTATTTTATTGTCTCTCTGCTATAAGTTTTTAGTATTCCATTTTGATGGATGAATTTTTTTTTTAACTATAAAAGGATTGGAAATGATTCAGAAAGGTTGTCTTCAATTGAGTCAAAAAGTGCATTGGTTGGGAATGAGAGCCAAAAAATGAAGGGTTATTGTCTGCTACATCCTCCTCACATAACAAGCTGTTGAAGGTTCGAACTGATACTGCTAAGCTTTTTTTCTTGCAAAACCTTTTCTTTAAGCTAATACTATTGATTGCAGTTGTACTATATGTTTTAGATTGTAATGTAAAAATGTATAAGGAGCTATCCAAATGTGTAAAAGCCTTTTTAGTGATAGTCTTTGGATGTATCTCTCTCTGAATCTGATCAATTCGCATATCAATAGACAGCCTTCTATTTTGCCACCATTCATGTGTTGTTGCACATTTTGCCACCATTAATCTGTTGTTCTGTTTTGGACATAATTTACTCTCTTCATTTATTTTCAGAGCTGGTGAATATGGGCTGCTTTTCATTTTGAGTTTGAATGACAAACTTTGTTTTCATACTTGTCTAAGTTACTTTAAGTATCCAGAAATGAGTGTGAGAATTACATACTTGTTATCATGTCTCTTCAGTATAATCCAAAGTTCTTTGTTTTGTCAAGTATGTTAGCCAACAGAATTTTTTTTCAGATTCAATATTAAACGTATGTCTCAAAGAAAAGTTACTTAGATATTCCTATCTATTGACTTTCTTCTTGATTAATGTGCATGTTAGATTGAGTAGGCTTCTGATCTAATGTAATGCTTTGAAAACTAGCCTTCAAATCAGTGAACCTAAAATAACCAATATTTTTAACTTTAAACTTTAATCCAAGATCAGGTCGAAGATGATAAGGCTATCTTTATTGAGCGAACAATAGTAAAATCCATTTGTTTAATTTTTTCCCTTAATTTCCAATACTTTAAAACACCCTGGTAAAAATCAGATGTATTGGTCAGTTCCAAAGAATTAGTAATAATTATTGAGGATCAATAAACAACAAATGGAGCAATACTGTGCTAAGCCATTCGTAGCAGAGACAAAGAAATGTTTGTAACTTTGTATCAATTAAAATTTCATATTTGGCTAAACCTTAGTAGCAGTTTTAGGTTTGGCTTTTGAATTACTAGATAAATTGAAAAGTAGTTCTGAAGGTTAACCTTTGATTAGAATCCTATTGTTTTTGGTTGCCATCTTGCTGGTCGTACTGAAGCTTCCATCAATTTTGATGCTTGAGAGGGTGCTATAGTCAGCAATGTTGGGTTTGTTCTCTTTGATATTTACTTGAAAAAAGTTTGCAAAACTTTAGGGAAGTTATTGAATTTATATGGTTGGATTAGTACAATCTCATTTTTATATCTATACCCACTTGCTGGTTGGAAGTTCTTAGTGCTTTATCTCTTACTTTGCTCTTATTTAGTCATTGTCTATATGATACTTAAAAGAAATGATTTAGCTTATTTTCTTGCAAATTCTTAAGTTCTCTTTCTTGTTTCAACTTTTTCTTATCACCTACTAATAATTGAAGTACTTCACCGCAGATATGTTGCTTATTTTAGATTTTTGGAAAGATTAGCAGCAAGAGTCGTTAATTGATTCAAGAACTATAGAGAAAATCTTATGCTCAAGATATGTTTCGACGACACTTTTTTTTTTTGAGACTTGGATTTGTTTTGTAAAACTGCCTTGACTTATATGTGAAATTTAGGTCAAATACCACTTATCAAACTATTTGTAGGGTGTTGTTGAACTTGATTATGATATTTGAATACTTAAAATGATATTTTTGCATTTCGTAATGTAATGGATGGCTTCATTTGTTAATTGTAAAGCATTGTCGTTTTTTTTCATTTTAAGATATAATTATAGCAGGAAAATCATCAAATTTCATGATGGTAAAGTGTTGTCACTGAATCAGATTTCTCCATTGACAACCACCTATTGTTATGGAATTGAAAAGTATTTAGTGACAACAAAAGTTGTCAGTAATTAGTTTATACTAGTTGACACTATGGATTAGTTTTAGTGACGACATTGCTTTGTACATCATTGACAAGATACTATGTCATCACTAAAATTACAACAATTATTAACGACACCAGTTGTCACAAAATAGTACCATTTACTGATGACTTTTAAGGTTGTCACCGTGTACTTTTACCGACGGGCCTTTTGTGACGACTAGAAAGTTGTCAATAAAATTTATCAGTGACGACTTTTTATTTTTTTTGATGAAAATGGCTGTCACTAAAAACCAATTTTCTTGTTGTGTCTTGTTCTCTTTTCTTTTTCATTCTTCTTTTTTTTTCTCTTCTCTTTTTTTTTTCAAAGCAAAGATAACAACATTGCCTCAAAAGCGTAATCATGAGAAGAGCATTGCACTGATTGATCATATTAATCAATTAACTTATAAAATCAAATAAAGAGAAAAAATTTCATCAAATTTGCACAATTTAGGCATGATTTTCTCCACTTTATAGGATATGCTTTCGTACAGTTATAATAATTATAATCACATAATAGTTATTTTCAAGTTAAATGAGAAGTGAAGTTTTTAAGTCACATATATTTATCCCAAAAGTAGAAAGAATTTGATCTACTAATGGTATGGAACTTGTTACCCCTTGGATAAAATTGAATAAATTTAAAAATTTTTGGGGCATTTTTGCAAATTTAGACGAGATTTTGAAAAAATTTTGATAGAATTTTCCCTTGTAAATGGACTATACTCCCTGACAACAAACCCAAGATTGACAATATTCAAGTGTAAATATTTCCAAAACAAGTCCAAATCATTTTTCACCACAAGTCAATTACAACCAATATATATAATCTCAATTCCCCCCCCCACACTTAACATGCACACTGTCGCCAATGTGTAAAAAGAGAAATCAAGATAAAAAAGGTAATACTCCCCTATGTAGTGATTGACGCATCATGAAGTGTTACAAACCGTTGTCCGCTTATCTCCAAAATTTCATGAGTTCCATTGGATAACCATTAGTACTAAAACCTAAAATATAAAATGGCAAATAAACTAGGTAAGGGTCAAAAGATGCAAAAGTGATAAAGGGATGAAGAATTTTTACAAATAACTCTGTGCCAACATTTTCTACATCATCACACAACATTTTCCAAACTTTTTTATGCACTTAACATAATTATCACATTTATTACCTAGAATATGAAGTATAAGCATGTCTTCTTCTCTAGGTAATTATAATATCACCATATAATAACAAGATTAGGAGTAGAACGCAATCTAAGGAACATACACTATGCACATGTTCAATTTCACCAGTAAAATGTCACTAAAATTGATAAATTCTTCACATATTTAAAATTCATCATCCAATCATGCTTTATATAAAGATTAAGTGATCAAATTGGTTAAAATGTCACCATATAAGGAATGTATATATGTAAGTATCATAAACAAGTCACATTTTAATAATTTGAACCATCCAATTATGCTTAACAATATTCCAAAATCAATCACCACATTGATGATAAAATAGGAATGTGCATAAATTAAAACATTGCATAGATCATTACATTCTCATATTTAATCCTCTAAACATGCTTAAAAGTGTTAAGTAAGCATAATGAAACTTATACACATCAATAACTAACATCACAAATTCACCATTTAAAGCGTATCAATAAACTCGAAAAAATTATGCAAATGGTGAATGTAAAATACCAAGTTAAGTTTAAAAAATTTACCTCAATTTGGTTGAGTGATATTTGATGATGTAAATGATGCAAAAAAAAAAACCTATGAAAATCACCCCATTTGACTTCCAATTACTTGAATTAGAAGCTATGAACCCTAGCCTTAATCCAATTTTTGAGATGTTTAATGTGAATTCTAATCGGTTATAAAGACTCTATGAAAATCAAATGATGTTTGTTTGATGATGTCAT